GGTGCTGGCCCTCTAATCTTGCAGGGAGGAGGGGCATGAGGCTGGAGCACCAGTTGCACAAAGCGGGCAGTGGCCCAAGTACCTGGACTGAGGCAGGTGGCAATGGTTCCTTGCTGGCTCTGGGAACACTGGGGCCCTTGACCTGGAAGTAGAAGTGGGGCTGGAGGCGACTTCCCTATTGGAAAAGTGGGGAAGGTCTCCAGTTCCTGGGAGGAGCACATGCCACAAAAGGAAGTGCCCCCCAACCCCTCATGCCCATTCCCTGCACCCCCAGCCTGCTCCTGCCCCCAGCCAACTCCTACCCCCTTCTCTATTGCCAGACATCCTGCTCTCAACCTACTCCTACACCCTTCCCTGGTCATGCCCCCTTCTGCCAACCAGATACCCTTCCCCCAGCCTTCTCCTGACCCCTCCCCCCAACCAGACACCGTACCCATCTGGCCACTGTCCTGTACCAGGCTCCGAATTTGGGGCAGGCCCCATGGTCCAGCACCCATCTGGCTGTAGGAAGGGCTTCTGTCAGCCCTGCTCCTGCTGTGTGGCACAGGTACGAAGGGAGGTCATGATCCAGCTGCAGCAGACAGATGGGAGGGTTGATGAGCGTAGCGAGCAAGGGGCGCAGCCCCCTAATATTTGTAAGTTTTGAAATTTAAAATCATTAGCCAGCCAATATACATAGACTAGAAAAACAAATCAATTAACGAGATTGTTTACCAAAGCTAAATTTCATAATTGTTGTGTTTATCTTTAGCACCACCAAGTGGCAAAATTGTGTATTGTCTCATATCAGTTATTCCAACTCAATAAACTGACCTTTTTCACTGATTTACTGGTATGCTTCATGCCTGTGAATTTTAGGAACCCTGGCCTTCAAAACTGGAGTAAGGCAGTAAAAAATTCTCTCCTTGTAGGTAACTTCTAATTTAAACACTTAATAAACTCAGGGAGGAACTAGGAGGGAAAGTAGAGGTGGGTGACAACCTGGGAAGCAGTGATCATGAGATGGTAGATTTCAAGATCCTGACCAAAAGAAGAAAAGAGAGGAGTAAAATACACACCTTGGACTTCAAAAAAGCAGATTTTGACTCCCTGAGAGACCTCATGGGCAGAATCCCCTGGGATGCTAACATGAAGGGGAAAGGAGTCCTGGACAGCTGGCAGTATTTTAAAGAAGCCTTATTGAAGGCACAGAAAGAAACCATCCCGATGCATAGCAAGAGAGGCAAACATGGTAGGAGACTGGATTGGCTTGCAGGGGAAATCCTTGGTGAACTTAAGCACAAAAAGGAAGCTGGAAACTTGGACAAATGACCAGGGAGGGGTTTAAATGTATAGTTCGAGAATGCTGGGGGTTTATCAGGAAGGCGAAAGCGCAAATGGAATTGCGACTGGCTAAGGATGTGAAGGATAACAAGTGAGGTTTCTACAGGCATGTTAATAAGAAGAAGGTGATCAGAGAGGGTGTGCGGCCCCTACTGGATGAAGGAGGTAACCTAGTGACAGATGATGTGAGGAAAGCTGAAGTACTCAATGCTTTCTTTGCCTCTGTATTCACGGACAAGGTGGGCTCCCGGACTAATGTGCTAAGTGACGCAAGATGGGATGAAAATGGACAGCCCTTGGTGGGGAAAGAACAAGTTAGGAACTATTTAGAAAAGCTAAACGACACAAATCCATGGGTCTGGACTTAATGCATCCGAGGGTACTGAGGGAGTTGGCAACTGTCATTGAGGAGCCTTTGGCCATTATCTTTGAAAAGTCATGGAGACTGGGAGAAATCCCAGATGATTGGAAAAAGGCAAATGTAGTGCCCATCTTCAAAAAAGGGAAGGAGGACAATCCAGGGAACTATAGGCCGGTCAGTCTTACCTCGGTTCCTGGAAAAATCATGGAAGGGATCCTTAAGGAATCCATTTTGAGGCACTTGGAAGAGAGGAAAGTGATTAGGAATAGTCAGTGGATGTGATATACCTTGACTTTAGCAAGGGTTTTGATAGGGTCTCCCACAATATTCTTGCCAGCAAGTTAAGGGAATGTGGATTGTATAAATGGACAGTAAGATGGATAGAAAGATGGCTATAAGGCCGGGCCCAGCAGGTAGTGATCAACGGCTCGATGTCAGGATGGCGGTCTGTTTCTAGCAGTGTCCCCCGAGGTTCGGTTCTAGGACCGGTTTCGTTTAATATCTTTATTAATGACTTGGATGAGGTGATGGATTGCACCCTCAGCAAGTTTGCGGATGACGGTAAGCTAGCGGGCGAGGTAGATATGCTTGAGGGCAGAGATAGGGTCCAGAGTGACTTAGACAAATTGGAGGATTGGGCCACAAGAAATCTGATGAGGTGCAACAAGGACAAGTGTAGAGTCCTGCACTTGGGACGGAAGAATCCCAAGCATTGTTACAGGCTGTGGACCAACCACTTAAGTAGTAGTTCTGCAGAAAAGGACTTGGAGGTTACAGTGGATGAGAATCTGGATATGAGTCAACAGTGTGCCCTTGTAGCCAAGAAGGCTAATGGCATATTAGGTTGCATCAAGAGGAGCATTGCCAGCAGATCCGGAGATGTCATTATTCCCCTTTATTCAGCTCTGGTGAGGCCACTTCTGGAGTACTGTGTCCCGTTCTGGGCCCCCCACTACAAAAAGGATGCGGACGCATTGGAGAGAGTCCAGCGGAGGGCAACCAAAATGATTAGGGGGCTGGAGCATATGACCTAGGAGGAAAGGCTGAGGGATGGGTCTGTTTAGTCTGCAGAAGTGAAGAGTGAGGGGGGATTTGATAGTAGCCTTCAACTTCCTGAAGGGAGGTTCCAAAGAGGATGGAGAGAGGCTGTTCTCAGTAGTGACAGATGGCAGAACAAGGAGCAATGGTCTCAAGTTGTGGTGAGAGAGGTCCAGGTTGGATATTAGGAAAAGCTATTTCACTAGGAGGGTAGTGAAGCACTGGAATGGGTTACCTAGGGAAGTAGTGGAGTCTCCATCCCTAGAGGTGTTTAAGTCTCGGCTTGACAAAGCCCTGGCTGGGTTGATTTAGTTGGGATTGGTCCTGCCTAGAGCAGGGGGCTGGACTTGATGACCTTTTGAGGTCTCTTCCAACTCTATGGTTCTATGATTCTATAATCTTTAATGTGTTTATCTTCACACATACCGGTTAAGGGATATGCGGTGATGCTTGCAGGTTATGGTTAACCAGCAAGTCTGTTCAGAACCCTGAATAATTACTCGCCTTGCAGTCCTGTGGCTGTGAAGCCTGCAGTTCTCTGGCTTCACAGCCACTTGTATCTGAGCATCATAGGTTAAAACTAGCTTGAGTATGTCTGCATAAGCTGCTATTCTATTTCCTATTACAGTGCAAACATACCCAGTATCTCTGCCTTTTTTTGCATCTACAGAGAAGGAATAGTGCTCTTAAGTTATTTCACAGGAACAATGCGGATTATTGTTTTAATGTTGATTGGAGGTTTTTCAAATAGAAGTATTCCATAAAGTATTAAGTATAATGTATAAGGATGTGTGTTTTCTGTCATTAACTGACAAAATCTGGGTAAATGGAAGGATGGAATAATGGAAGTTTAGTTGTCCTACTCAACATTCATACATTTGTTGTATGTTCACCTAGAGGATTTACCCTGTGTTGCTTGGGTCCTTAAATAAAATATTTTTCTTCATTTAAATCATTGCTCTAGAGTGGGGCTGGGGATAAGCAGTTCAATATGCAGGCTGCTCTGTGAAGAGAGGACAGTCCCAGCCCTCTCTTACCCCAGCAGGTTGGGGCCAGAGGAGAAGCACCCATCCATGGTTGCTGTAGCTGCAGTGGGCACAGGTGGGGAAGAGATGCATGTCCCCTGGCTGGAGGACAGACAGATGCACAAACAGATAAACTCACTCAAATGTTTAATAGATAGCCGTCCCTTTCTTAACCATTGCACCTGCTATCTCAATGGGGGTATAGCTATTCCAGTCCCTGTCTCGGGCCCCTTGCTGCTTCCTTGTGGTCATTATACAATAGAACGGTGCCTGCTACAGACCCCTTCCTTTCTGTTTTATGAGAAAACAATCACATCCAGGCATAATCCATTGTCATGACGCAACGAACCCTTATGTTGCTTTAAGTTACGATAAGAGGAAGCCGCAGGCCAATTTCTTGGTGCTAGCTCTACCGTTTGGGAGGAGTTCTTGGACAGACAGAGACAGACACACAGAGACTCTTAAATATAGTAGATTAGTACCACCAGTGAACATGTACGAAGATCTGTCCTTAATCTACAGTAGTTGAATCTTAAATGCACAAGGAAATTATCATCCAGACAGAGACCAGTCCTGCTCTGTGATGCATGTGTAAAAAAAACAGTGATAAACATCTATATCTTTAGTGGTAGATGTAATGAACTGGGGTTAGGGGAAGGCATTAGAGGTTCAGGTTGAACCTCTGAGGCCCAGCACCCTTGGGACCTGCCAGGGGCCAACTAGGAAATGTGCCAGACTAGGGAAGGTCAGTGCTCACCCCTCTACTCCTAGACCTCCTGGGATTTCTGTTCTAGGAGCTGCTCCTCCCCCTCGAGGAGGCATTGTGCCTCCGCTGCTCCAGCTGCCCAGGGACTCCCTTAGTCCAGCAATGCTCCTGGCCTCAGCCTGCTGATTTTTTTCCTGACAATGGTGTACCAGAGCTAGTGCTGATTAGGGAAATCTGGATTAGAGAGGTTCAACCTGTATTTGATTTACTAACCTGTTATTTGCAGTACAGTAATGAAACACTGATCTATTATGAGGAATATCACTGAAGAAGTTGCATTAAATGTTTATGCTAACCATATTTATTGTGTTCAGGTACATAGTTTGTATGGTTCAATAATAGTAAAAAGTGGAAATGTCTGTTTCAAAGTGATGCAGCAGCAAATCTTCAGGGAAATAATTTCTGATAGCAGCCACTATGAGAAAATGCCAAACTGTCCTAGATAAATTGATGTATCTAAAAATATTTTGGTGCCTTATTTTGTCAGATGAAAAAGTACCTCCAGATCAGAAGCCTTTTAAGCCAGTAGCTCCCCAAGTACCACCCAAAAAACCTGCACCTCCCAGCAAGAGTAATAGTGTATTTAGAACTGGAATTCTAAAACGACCAGATAAACCAGTCTTACCACCTCCCGTGTCCAAGTGAGTATATTTTTATTGTATTTTAATCCAGTGTAGTAAATAGATGTCATTGGTTTACACTTGCATGTGCTTTATTGCTAAACTATAAACCTTAATAATATGAAGGTGAAAACATCACAGGTATACACAGTGCCTTCAGAAATTCTCTGTGGTGATCAGCTGCTGCTTGTTGTTTCTCAAATTAAGTAGCATTTTTCTTGAATCCAGATAAGAGGGCACCTCACGCTATGACCTGGGCTGTGTGTGGAAAATATAGAAAATTAAATTCAGTGCAGTTTTTAAAGCTGTTGCATTCTGAATAAGTTATGGCCACATGAAGTGAGCCACTAGTGGTATTCTCTGCTATGCTGTGTAGAGCAGCTTGTGGGTGTTACACTTAAATTAATTACCACTTTGGAGAGAGCCACACATCACTGTGTAAGTGATCAAATTTCTCACTTGAGTATTGTCGATATAAATCGTCACTGCAGGAGCACATGTGCTCTCTTGAAATCATTGTCCTCTAGAAAGTAGTGATTACTGAGAACATGTGAGTGAGGTCACATAAGGATCTGAAACTCCCAAGATCTCTTAGTTCTTTTCAATTGCCTGAGTGAATTTAAATTCTTTGTCTTCCGTTCCATAGTTCATGTTATAGCAGAATAGCAGCAGCCACTATTGTTAAATTTGCATAGCAGCCTCTCTTCCAACCCCCAATTTCTAATCACTGGTGTAAAAGTTGTACTGTAGCTTCTGTGTTCTGATCCTTGATTTTAGTTACTCACAATTTTTTGAAGCTTTATTTTTCCATGCCTAATCTGTGCCTGATGAGGTAAAATCTTTTGTCCCATTGTAACCAAACCAAAAACTTTTGCAGTCTTTTTTTTTGAAATATTATAAGTCTTGTGGGAAACAGGCCATCTCCTACATCTCTCTACTGGTGGTATGTCTACACTTGCAAACTACAGACACTGCACTTCCAGCTAGCATGGTACAAATAGCAGTGCATATAGGCACAACTTGGGCAAGTATAGAGTGCCCTGCATGGCTCTCTGCAGATGGAAGCAGTGCCTCCCGTGTTTATACTATTCTTAGCAGTGCAGTGTTCCACTGCTAGAGCCTTTCCTGGTTGCTGGGATAAGTTCTGGCAGGGAGGAGACATCAAAAAAGTCTTTGACAATGTGGAAAAGTTCTGGCAGATTCTGCTGCTTCTCCCTTGCTAGAGCCTTTCTTTCTGCAGTGAAAAGCTATGGCAGTGAGGAGCTGCTGAAGTCTTTACTGTTGCCTCTTCCCCTCCTCCACCTAAGAGCATTTCATTGCTACATGTGATTTACGTGGTGACAAGTGTGAGCTCAGCCTGCGTTCACTGTGACATGTAGGCCCTGTGTCGTGCCTGTACTCTGTATGCCACTGTAAATTTAGATGAGGCATAAGATGCCTGAGCCAAACCACTCTTCTCTTGCTTTCTAGCCAAACTGAGTGGTGAACATACCAACATACGAACAGCCATACTGGGTCAGACCAAAGGTCCATCTAGCCTAGTATCCTGTCTGCTAACAGTGCCCAATGCCAGATGCCCTCATGGGTTCCCAAACTGGGGGGCGTGCCCCCCTGGGAGGGCATGAAGAAATTCCAGGAGGAACGTGAAGTGACCCAGCCGCACACACCTCCGTCAATCCCACCCCAAGTTTTGCTGCTACTTTTTTTTTTGGGGGGGGGGGGGGAGGAGGGTGTAAGGGTTTCTCAAAAATCAAAACTGTGATGCTGAACAGTTTGGGAACCACCGAGGGAGAGAACATATGAAGTAATCACATGATCCCTCTCCTATCATCCGTGCAGGTGTTCCTGCGTTGTTACCATTTTCTTTTCACATCACGAAGAGTGATGCCCAGATCAGGACAGCAGACATTGTTTAACTAGTTCTCTTCAAACTAACTCCTCACAGTAGCAATTAATGTCTCAAGAATGGAGATTTTGAAGAGAAGTTAATAGACAGTTTTAATTAGTTCTTTTGAGTGGATTGTGTGGGTGGATCCTGCACCATCATTCACCACGCTTCTGTGTTGTAGATTCTAAGTAGAAGAAACTGATAAACATGTACGCCACGGTTTTGTACATAAACTGAATATTTGGTTCTAGGAGACTGCATGCACAGGTCCTCAGTGGTTACCTCTGAGTACTCTGGCTGCTGCTTTGAGAGATGTCCCCATGGGTGTTCCACATTAGATTGGTGCGCCACTTCCCATCTCAGAGCGGAGATTTTGTAACAGTGTCCCTGGGGCCATGCACATGCACACGAGCAGTCGCATGCTGTTAGGCTGCAGGCATTGCGCATGCGCAACCCCCTCCCCCACTCCTCAGTTCCTTCTCTACTGTCTCCGGCTACGGACGGATTCAGCAGTGCTCCCTTCCTTCTTTGCATCTAGATGACCATGCTTCTTAAAACCAGTAAAATTCATCATAGTAGCTAATTAGTGAGTTTAAATACTTAGTCAATTATTTTGTTAGTTTAAAAAAATTTAGATTAGTATAAGTGTGGGGTTTTTTTTTCCTCTCCCAGTTAATCCCTTCCTGCGGTCTCTGACTGTTTCTACAGGTATGCCTGTCTCACCAGGGTTTTAAGCGCTGCTCCTCATGTAAAGAACCTATCCCTATATCAGATGGTCACTCACAATGCGTCTGCTGCCTTAGAGAGCAGCATAACGCTCAGAAATGCCCTCATTGTGCAAAGCTAAAATCGTGGGCATAGAAAGACAGAAACTTCCAGCTTCAGTTATTTTTATTGGAAAATTCACTAGACTCTGGTCCAGTCAGCACCCTGAGGAACTTAAGCAGCAGGGATCCAGAAAGCTGGCTCCCCTCCTCTACCTCCCACCCCCCCAAAAAGAAAAGCCAGCTTCCTCAGCACCTCAAGGGTCTACGTCACCGAAGCAGCTGTCTCCCTCACGGCTGGGGCCGAGAACAGCTGCAGCACCATGGCACAGGTGATGCCGCTGATGTCTTTGGAGCCCCCCGTGGAGATGAACAGCACGCATGTGCTAAACCATGGTCTGAGGTGACAGGCTTCAACCTGTCTGCCTCATTAGCTGCAGCATCATCCAGTAATGATGCAATCTTGCCCGACACAGCAGGAGAGCGCAGCTCCGATCATGTTATCAGGCACCTCAGCTGCCACCACAGAGGTGCTTGATGCGGCATGACTGCCCTCAGCACTGAGGCATGATTCAGGGCCTCAGCCTCTGTGCTTCCGACTACAGCACCTGTTGGGCATTACACTCAACACAGAGACTTATTAGTCTCATCTACTTTAAACTCAGAAATCACTTTCTCAGGAAAAAATTTCATCTGAATCTGAATATGATTTCTCTCTGGCTTTTTTCACCAGCGAATTCTCCTTACACAGCTCAGAGTATTTACTCTTCCAGGTTGGGAATATACCTTCATATTATGGCAATCCCAGGGTACCTCCAACTGAGCCTTACCCCTACTGCCAATACTGGTAAAAATGGTAATATCACAAATACCAGCATGGCCAGAAATGACACAGAATGCAATAGTCCCCCTCCAAACAAATACAAGAAGGGGATTCATTCACACGGGGGATCCAGTGGAGGGAGGATCTCTGGCCCTTGTTTCAGTGACTTCAGATGCTGCACATTCCCATGACCTTTTCAAATGTGTAGCTGCGGAATTAAACATTCCTCTCCATGAGGCTCTGGAAAATCCGCATGAGCTAATAGACAAACTGCACTCAGTAACACCATCAAAAATACCATTGCCAGTTAATCCAGGAATAATGCAACTGGCAAAGATGGTGTGGCAAACTCCCGCATCAATCTCTTCGATGACTGAGAGAACCACTAAGAAATATTATGTTCCACCCAAGAGTTCTGAATTTTTTTTTCTCACCCTGCACCAAATTCCCTCGTGGTGGAAGCTGCACAACTAAAATCCAAGCAACAACAATACCAGTCTACCATTGGACCGCGATAGCAAAACGATCTTTGCATTCTGGCACAAGATATATACATCTTCTACTTTACAATTTCGCATTTCGAATTGTGCAGTTTTATTGAGCAAATATGATTACAGAACTCACATGATTGCAAAATCAGCATTACAGACCACCTTAGACGCTGCTGACACGGCTGCATGTTCTATAGCAATAGTGGTAGTAATGAGGAGAGCATCATGGTTTAGTTCCACTCCATTCACTCTACAGTGGAAGATCTGTCTTTCGATGGCCAGAAGTTGTTTGCAGCTAACACCAGTGAAATTCTCCACTCCATGAAAGATTCCAGAGCGATGCTTTGGTGTTTGGGGATCCACAACCAAGTACCTAAAGAAGGCAATATAGGTTTCAGCCCTACCTGAGACCTCAATACCCCCTCCCCTCCATATGCACAATACTACAATGGACAAGACCAGAAGCAACAGAACAAAGGCAGAGGCAGAAACCAACTCTTTCGAGATGAAAATGCACACACGTGACCTGTGCAGAGCCCTCTCTTTTTACCTGCAGCGAACAAGACCATTCTGAGAGTCTCCCAGGCTATTTGTTTCAATAGCAAACTTCAATAAGGGCCAGGCTGTCTCATCACAGAGACTCTCCCATTGGGTCTCATATTGCATCATACTGTGCAGCACAGAGTCAGATATGCTGCCTCCAGAGAGCATAAGGGCACACTCAATCAGAGCCATGGCTTCCTCGATAGCATGCCTCTGAAAAGTAACCATAAGAGACATCCTTCGACCACAGATTTGCAAAGCACTACACATTTACACAGGGATTTTTCCCAACCTAAAACTAGCTAAGGAGGTTCTTTCCACGGCTTTTCTGCCAGATCCAAAGTCCCTACCTCCCTAAAGAGAAATTGCTTTGCAGTCACCTAATGTGGAGCACCCATGGGGACATTTGTCTCTCGAAGAGGAGGTTACTTACCTCAATAGTAACTGATGTTCTTCGAGATGAGTGTCTCTGTAAGTGCTCCACAACCCTCCCTTTCTCCCCTCTACTTGGGGATCCTGGCCTCCTCAAGCCATCATTTTGGGGTAGAGAAGGAACTGAGAAATGGAGGAGGGGGTTCACGCATGTACGATGCCGGCAGCCTAACAGCGCTGGGAACACTGCTACAAAATTTCCGCTCTGAGGCTTAGTGGCGGCTCACCGACCTAATGTGGAGCACCCACGGGGACACTCATGTCAAAGAACGTCAGTTACTGTTGAGGTAAATAATCTCCTCTTTCATTCAGCTGATGCATTAACCATTTGAAAACCAAGAGTGCCACTCCATACTTTTAGTCTATAGAATGCCACTTGTACTTGGCGAGATATTAACTTGATACTTCAGCAAACTTCAAGATTATCTATAAAACAGAGAAGTATACCACAGAAATGTTTTTCAGTTTGGGTGACAGTTAAAGTATGTCAGAATTCCAAGGGGGAATATATATGTACTAATCAATTGTGGCCAGAGTAATTTAGTGTTTTTATGACTGAAAACATCCACAGCTGCTCAGTATTTGACACTATACTGAGGGGATGGTTGAAGAGAAAGCAACCCTGCTGCACTAGTACCCATGTAGAGAAATGGGGAAATGAGTATTTAGACACATTTTAGAGAAAAGGGAAGTAGTACCACACATTTAATCTCTCAAACTGTTCAAGTCTCCCAGCTTGCTAAGCATGGTAACCTTTTTACCTTTAGCTGCAAGACGCAGCTGAAAGAGCTGCAAAAGAATGGCTCATCTGTTCACTTTTTTGGTTCTAGGATGCAAGAAAATCTAGGGATTTTTACTGCCAGAACAGTAATAAAGGATAGAGAGAGACTGTCCAATGCTAGAATAAAGGCCATCTAAACAGGATATTTAACAAAATGTAACCACCCATTCAAGTGCATTAAGAAAGTGTTTAATTTAAAAGAAATTGAGGGGAAGAGACCCTTCATACCTCAGCTCTGAATGTTTTTGACTTATACTTGAAGGTGATATTTAGTGTTCTTGTCTTTTGTGTTGTTGCATTGTACTGTAGCATTTTTGTGCAAAGGAATAGATTTGTTTATACAGCACGCCTAAATGGAATAAAATATTACCAACTGATGTGTTGAAGTATGCATGTGGTACTCATGTCCTGCACATGTCTGGAGAGCAGATTTTTGGCCAGATTCCTAACAGAAGTTAATGTGTTTATGAATAGCACAACATTTATTTTGTCTGTCTTGGTGAGAGAGCCAGTTTGTGGAAGAATTTTTAAATGTAAAGTCTTCAAGAACAGGAGACGCTGAAATTTTCTCCTCTGCTTTTAACTCTGAATGTGTTTGAATTATGATCTGTTTCAAATTCAGGCTATTCTTCCTTTACAGATCGAATGGGGAAGTGGTTTCCCTTCGACCAAAATCTGAAATTGAGCCACTAATAAAGCCAAAGTTAGACTCTGAACATTTACCGCTTAGACCAAAATCAGTAGAGGTAGATTCAGTTGCAGTAAAGAGCTTTAAAGAACCAGGTAAGATGAAAAACAAATGAAAGTCCTGTTACTAAAGAGCTTTTCTGAGCCTTTTCTATTTAGATTGTGATACTGAATTAACTCTTTTATTGAAGTATATACATGCTAACACATGTAAGTGCTCTTGCACTAAATATTAAGTGGAGGATACAATTTTTTAAATAGTAATTGCTTATAGCTCTTTTGTATACTGGGGAAATAATGTACAGTATTTATCAAGCTGATATATAGAGAAATGATAATACCTTACTTTGTATTGGGTTAAGTAGAAAAAAAGAATAGCTGTGTAGTGGTTTCCTTTTTTTTGGAACTAATATTAACATTCGTTTATAGTTATATGGAGTCTAATTGACAACTTTTATAGCTATCTCCTTCATTAATGCTTCATACTTTTGAAAGAGGTTTGTAATTTGTGCTCATGAAAATGAACTAAGTCTTGCTAGATGGACCTTGATCCTAATCTCACTTCTGTTGTGCACCTCTCTGAGAACTTGTCATATTGACTAGAGGTAACACATTCTGGACAGATGCAGTGCAAGCTTTCCCCACATAGCTGTTGTTAATATTATACCTTCTTTGTCAGTAACATCACTGTGATCTCAGTCTTACGCAAGGGTGGGCAAGATATAGCCCTCACCACCAGGCTAATCAGTCTGTGGGTGGGGAATGCATGAAGTCTCCTACTCCCGCCAGGGGCGCGTGGTTTTGAACAGCTGGTAGTTCCCGCTGGACACCAGGCGCCCCTGGCAGGGTGAAGCAGGGGGCAAGGGACTTTGTGTGCTCCATCGCCCCACAGGGGAGTGCAGGAAGGTCCCCTACCCCTTCCACCAGGGACACACCCATTCTGCCTGAGGCCCCACCCCTTCTGCTTAAGACCCTTCCTCTTGTGGGGTCAGTTTGCGATCACTCCCAAAAGTGAAGTGGCCCCCCTACAAAAATGATTTGCCACCCTGGTCTTGCTTGTGCCTCCTCCTCAAAGGTTGCCAGTTAAGTTTAAACTGAATGGTGCCTTTTGTGATCTTGTGCATACCTTCATGAGAGGGGACTGGTTTTGAGAACACACAATTCTTCTTTTGTACATTCAACTTGTACCAGTTTTTAACACTGCCCTCTAAATGGAATTTTTTACTAGTGCATAAAACCCGCACTAGGATGACATTGGTTATTCGCCCTCTGAGTGTTGAACAGTTGAACTTGGTATTTAATTAGACACTTTAGGAATATTGCTAGTAATACCAACACAATGCTTACTATGTTCCAAAATTATTTCTAAAATAGTTGTTTCTTTATTAAATATGGTACATTTAGAGAATATATGATGTGGCATGGTTTGAAGATTTGATTTGGGTTGGGACAGCGCAGTGATTAAATCAGCATCTGGTTAAGATTGGGGCTGTGAACACAAACCAATCAGTTTGTTTTTTTTCAGGCGAGAAGGAATAACTGCTAGTAGGTTGAGAGGTGAAATGGCTGAGATACAAGCCTCTATGCTTTAGAAGTGTTCCAGAAAGTTGCTGTTCAGGTTCCCCATTTGGGGGTTGTGTGAAATCTTTTCCTACATGGTCAGGTAGTAGGTGTGGCCAAGAGCATATCTTTTGATTGTCTTTAGGCAAGGAGAATATGATGTGTGTGTTCTGTTATAGGCCTTTCCTACACTGGGACTTAAGTTTAGGCATTTACATATCTGTGGGATCTGCATATGGGTACTGAAGCCAGTGCAGAAAGTGATGAGCAATCTGGCACCCATGCTCTGGAATTTGTGTTGGTTGCCTGTTGGAGGCAGAGGGTAGGATGGGGAGAGATGCAATGATGGGGTGGTGGGGTTGGGACAGGGAAAGATGTGAAGCTGAGAGGTGGGACGCACTGACGGGAGGATGGGGTGTGGCTCTCACATAACAGGAAGGAGACCAGGATGCTTTAGCTACTCCCAAATCATTCAGGACTTCCAGGCCCAGTGGGCACGCTGTTTGCAAGGCCAGGTGAGCACTGTGAGCCTGCACAACCTCCAGCGCTCCCAAGCTACATTCCTGCCCCCACTTAGCTGCCTCCTGCTCTCCCATTTGCAAACACACTCCCTGGCCCAAAAGCCAGTGTGCTCCTCTCCCTTGCCCCTTCAAGCACTCTCCTTTCCAGTGCCTCGCTGCCTCTGTGCCATCTGCACCCCTTCAGCCTTCCCCCTCCAAATACTGCATCTGCCTCAAACAGCACCCCCCATCCATATGCCCCTGCTGTGCCCCCTGCACCATTTGTACCTCGCTGTCCCTGCACAATGTTGCACTCGGACCCCCACTTTCCCGTGTGTACACTGTGCGGTACCCAGTATTGCTGCCTTGGTGGCACCTTGGGGAGAGGGAGGAGGCGGCCAGGGCCAGGATATAATGAAGAATGCTGGAGGCACCAGGTGCCACAGCAACAACCTCACAGGCTGGGACCAGCTAGGAGCCGCAACACAGTGATATACCTGGCACGGAGCCTGTTATCCTGCTGCGTGCCAACCAGACAGTCAACAGTCTGCCGTGGTGCTGACCAGAGCCTCCAGGTTCCCTATTTGACAAGGGGTTGCAGTCCAATTCTGGACACATGCTTATCTTACATGAAACAAGCATTCAAAAGTGATATAGTATCAGCCTTCAACTACCTCCCTATGAGCTCAGGGGAACTGTGTGCATGAAATCAGTGGCAAGATCAGGATCTTGTACAGGCAGTCCCCGGGTTACGTTCAAAATAGGGACTGTAGGTTTGTTCTTAAGTTAAATCTGTATGTAAGTCGGAACTGGCATCCAGATTCAGCGGCTGCTGAAACTGATCAGTTTCAACAGCGGCTGAATCTGGACGCCAGTTCTGACTTACATACGGATTCAACTTAAGAAACCCAGGCGTCCCCA